TATAAATATACAAGTGTAAATATATATATACACATACAACTATTTTTAAAATATATACATTTACACTTGTATATAATTTATATACTAAATATCTTTTTGATAACATAATTTTGTGCTTAACCTTTTTACAAAGTCATATTTTATTTCAACCCAAATTTTGACCCATTTTTAAACAAATTTTTTCTACTCAATGTAATGTTTATTTTATCGTCTGTTGTTAGAAAATTACAAGTTCATGGTATTAATCTGCATTTAGACAAGCCCCAAATTTGGATATCAGGGTTGCAAAATTGCAAAGCTCATTGAAAATTATTTTAAGTACCACACTGACCATATAAATAATATAACATAAACAAATAAATGAACGAATAAATAATAATTCAGGCCGTGTTTTGTAGCCCATTTATGCAAACAGCTCAAACGTGTGCATGAAGTCAACTTTAATCTAAAAATCATCTTTGAGACTATATAAACCACTAACCAGCTAGGCGTTTATTTAGGAGTGAGAAGTGATTACTGGACATTTCACTGTTTATGAAGCTTCTCAAAACAGATCTTACAGTGTTTCATGGCATGTGAGCAGAGACTATAAATGCAAGTCAAGACACTTACTCACATTTTGTTTTACATCGTGTTTAAATTGGATAGTTTGTGGCTGAATCGATATTTTTAAACACGCCGCACTCTCACCTCTTCCAGTTTTTTCGCGTTCCCGGTAACGAATACCACAGCTCTGCCGGTAGGTACTGCCATGCTTCAGCCTGTTTCGGTCAACAACTCACTGTCGGAACTGTAAAACACTCGGCTCCGGCACCACAAACCAATCGTATTCATTGATCAAAAACTTCCACCAATCAGGGAACGAGTTCGCCACATTCTAGACACGCCCTCCTCACACACTGACCAATCGCTGGATGCTCAGTGCCGTCCTTCTGTAAAATCACTCCGGGTGGAAAGTGCAAAACATGTGGGAGAGCGACATCACATGTCAACGCCTGTAGAATAGAAATAATTTCACCAGTATTTGCCCATTAAAGTACTTAGTAAAGTAGTTTTATCGGCCTGGGAAAAAGGTTATAATTCATCTGATAAATCTGAATCGAGATTAAGTGAACAGGAGGATCTGATCCATAAACATGAGCTTGCTGCCTCGCACCGCTGAGGAGTTCAGCTCTGCGGACTACTGGGAGCGCTTTTTCCGTAAAAGAGGAGAGAAGGCTTTCGAATGGTACGGAGACTACAACTCCATCTGCGGTGTACTGCATAAATACATTAAACCTCGTGATAAGGTAACTAAGACGGTTTCTTAAGCTCCAAATCAGCATATTATAATCATTTCTGAAGGATCATGTGACACTGAAGTAACGATGATGCTGAAAATCAGCTTTGCATCACAGGAATAAATTACATTTAAAAATATATTGAATTAGAATTCTGTTGTTTTAAATTGTAATGATATTTCACAGTTTCAGCTTTTTTTTACTGTATTTTTTTTTTTTTTATCAAATGCCAACCTGTAACTTTTGAACTTTTAAAAGAATGTATATTATTTCATAATTCCTTTAATTTCAAACATTACTTTCTTTCCTCTTTGGAACACAAAATTGAGAAATTTTGAAGAATTATACCGGTTGATCTGTTCTATGCAATTGTCTAATGTTTTCAGACGTACAAATGCTGTAAAAGTACCATATATTATTAAATATATATGTTTAAAGTGGTTCAGATAAGTTTCTAAGGCAGTTTTGTGAACTAGAACAACTGATTCATTGAAAATCTGATTCTACAGAATGATTCTTTTGATAATTTTGTAATTCCTTCATGAACGTTAAGAAGAGCTAGGATATCAGGGATAATTTCAGTAAATATTTTTTATTTAAACTATTTTTTTAATAGCCAATAAAGAAACCAAAATAAAAACAATTTTTTTCTGATACATAAAAATAATAATAAACGTCTTGTAGATTGTACAAGAGTTATGTAAACTTATAATTAGAATTGTAACTCTTGTTCTCTGCTGCAGGTGTTGGTGGTGGGCTGTGGTAACTCCGAGCTGAGTGAACAGCTCTATGATGTTGGCTACCATCAGTTAACCAACATTGACATCAGCGAGACGGTGGTGTCGCACATGAACCAGCGGAACGCAGAGCGCCGTCCTGACCTGACCTTCCAGCAGCTGGATGCCACCCAGACAGGCTTTGAGAGCGGGAGCTTTCAGGTGGGACTAGATAAGGGCACGCTCGATGCCATGGCTTCAGAAGAGGACTGTGCTCTTGCAGGCAGTATGCTGGCAGAAGTTGGCAGAGTTTTGTCTGTGGGAGGCCGGTATGTCTGCGTAACTTTAGCCCAGGAGCACGTCATAAAGCTGGCTGTGGAACATTTCGCCCAGGGCTGGGCTGTACGAATTCATTGTCTTAGCGGACAGCAGAAGGAAGAGTCTGATTCCTCATTCGCCCTCCCTGTATTCGTTCTGGTCTGCACCAAATTCCGCCAAGCGCCTCCGTCTGCAGTGCTTGAGTTGTGTCAGGGGGAGGATGGCGCTCCCACTAGACTTGCATCAGTACCGGAGCTGTTGTCCGCTGTGAAGGAGAGACAGGCCTACAATCTAATGCTGCATAAGCTCAGAGGGGGAACAGATGCTAGCAGCACACCGTCCCTCACGCTCTGCCATGCAGCCACCGGCCGACCGCGATACACTCTGACAGTGCAGGATAGCCTGCCTTCTGCCAAGCTGCCACGGAGTAATCACTTCGCCATCTTTATCGGTGATCATTTGGTTCTTTTACCTTTTCATTGTGAAGATCACTGTCATAGGCCAAGTATATTTACCTATATACAGAGTGCAGCATTTGGATTCTGGAAGTAAAAATCCCATTCATTTTCTCCATAGCAGAACGGATTTTAATGGTAACTTATTAACCGTTCAAAACTGTTTTACTATGAGCTACAAGGTTATTAATCAGTGGCATATGCTTTTGCTGAAACTGTCAGCATGTGTTATTTCACCCTATTTTTTAAATCATTATGTTTAACAATCAAGTTCATGGTGAAACACTACATTACCCATGATTCTGCAACTGAAATCTTTAGGGAATTGAAATATGCAAATCATGCCAAAAGAACATTTTAGTCATTCGCAAGGCTTCATCAGATTGTAGCTCTTTCCCAGTTTTGTACTTTTTTGTGCCTTTTTGTCCAGTTTTCAAATACTTTCTTGCTTCACATCAACTGATCAATTTGTAATAATGTGATTCATCTTGGTAACTTGTTGGTTTGGTTCATGGCTTTGAACTCTTAAATGAAGAATGTGTGCAGGAACTGTTGCACACTATTACAAATATCTATGGAATTCTTGAATCTGATTGGTTAACTGCAGAATTAAAGGGATAGTTCACCCAAAAATGAAACTTCTGTCAGTAATTACTCACCCTCATGTCGTTCCAAACCCGTAAGACCTTCGTTCATCTTCCGAACACAAATTAAGATATTTTGGATGAAATTCAAGAGCTTTTTAACCCTGCATAGACAGCAACACAACTGACACGTTCAAAATCCCAGAAAGGTAGTGAGGACATTGTTCGTTAAAATAGTCCATGTGGCATCAGTGGTTCAACTGTAATTTTATGAAGCTCTGTGAATACTTTTTGTGTGGAAAGAAAACAAAAATAATGAGTTTATTCAACAGTTTCTTCTCTTCCGTGTCAGTCTTCAACGGCATTCACGAGAGTACTGTGACACATAAAGAAAAATACATATTATAATATAACAGATATAATGAAATGTTATAATATTTTTATTTTGTTTGTGTCACTGAATGTGTGTATATACAATTTTACTTTTTTCATTAATATATTTTTTTATTTTTAGTTCCTCAGGGCCGTGAGTCTGATTGGTTATATGGCTCGGCTGAAGGTCGGACTCAATTAGCATCCAGTGCAAAATTCAGACGCCTGGTCATTGTGGCAATGCATAGAGATCAGGAGTATGAGGACATGCAGGCTGTCCAATCAGAGCTCTCTCCGATGGTGATGGAACTCGCGCCTCCTGGAATGCCAGCCAATCAGCAGGTGCACAGGAACAACATGCATTGCTCGGCATTTGCTCTTGATCTTGTCCTCATTTCACACTCATGCGTGCACTCTCTTTCACAATTCCTCTGGTATAGGTGCCGTTCCTGTCTGTGGGAGGAGATCTGGGGTGGAGGGAAGTCATCGGGCGAGGGGTCAGTGCTTTGACTGGAGAGTATTCTGTGGAGGATGTGAGAGGAGAGGATGGTCACTTCTTTCGCAGGCTGATCTTCATGAACAATTCCCAGCTGGTGCAGTCAGAGAGCAGACTCCGGTCTGCCGGCACAGGTGTGGTACCGCTGTGCTTGAATTCTGCAATGTTTATGGAACAACTGGAGATTTATTTCAGTGTTTGGTCTCTTTTGCTAGCTTCTTCTGCTCATAAAAAGAAGAACAAGAAAAAATCCAAACCATCTGTTTCTGATGCCCCTGCTTTAACGGGTGTTAAAGATCGCATTGTGGACAGAGGCTTTCTCTGCTGTACACACCATGAAGTTATGGTGGCGGGTTTAGCCATGTTAGGAATGGATGCAATCAATAATAAAGGTAAGTGTGCTAGCATTAAAATGCCTAGTGAAAGTTTAAAGCGTTTGCATTCAAAAGGGATGCTATCATTTAACTTTTTAAATACTATAGTGATGTCCTGGCTAAATATGTATTCAACAATATAAGTCTTAAAGTACACATTACCATTCAAAAGTTTGAGGTCGATAAGATTATTATTATTTTTTTTAAAGAAGGCTGTTTTATGTTTCCTAAGGCTGTATTTATTTCATAAAAAATACAGAAAAAAAACAGAAATATTGTTTACTGCTATGCCAATTTAAAAAAAATAACTGTTTTCTATTTGAATATATTTTAAAATTGATTTTATTTATTGCCTGGAAGGGTAAAGTGCTGCTTAATAATTTTTGTGGAAACCATAATATATTTTCCTTGATATATAGAAAATTTTAAAAAGCACAGCATTTATTTGAAATAGAGCTATTTTGTGACATTATGCATGTCATTTTTGATCAGTTTAATTTGTCCTTCTTGAATATAAATATGAATTTCTTTCAATAAATAAACAAACAAATAAAAATCTTACTAACCCCAAAACCTTTTAAAGGTTGTGTAACATATTAATTAATAAAATTACAACTATTAATTTATTAAAGAGTGTAAACACTGTCTCTTTAAAGCAACATGTATCATGTTTACAGTTCTGTTTGCAGTTTTACTGCTGCTAGTACCACAGAACTTTTAAAAAATAGTTCATGCCCCCCAAAATTTGGTTATAATGTACTGTTATTTATTTCATGGATCACAGAAGTTGGAATTTTGAAACAATTGTTATGCAGCTGTTGTCATATAACATCAGTTCATAATGACCAGGGGCTGTCAAAAAACATCAAAAATAAATAACATCCTCATAAAAATTTGTAGTGCATATGTTATATTGCAAAGTATGATTTGTTTATGGAATGGACAGAATTTTGCCCTTCCCTGAATCTTACATCTAGCCCGTATAGCTGCACGATTAATCTTTAAAAGATTGCGATCTTGATTTAAACACCCACGCAATCTTAGTCCTACATAACAATGATTCAGCAGTTTCTATGAAACCTTTGAAAAATACTATCAGAGCAGAACAATTAAATCTGTGTTTGCACTGCCGCTGACCCAGAGAGAACAGTTGTCATGTACAGGTATGAAACAGCTTCACAAACAGTTAAAGCACACA